GTATGTTACTAAATGTACTTACTCTGCTAGTCATCAGAAACATGTTATTCAGGTGAAGAATTCATACCTTAAACATCTGTTTAAACACTGGTTGTATGCGTCCATAGATTGCAGGCCGCGAAGGTCCTCCATGGTGTACTCAGTCTTCGCCTGACATATTTTCCTTCTCCGTCTCATTCCGGTCGATTCCGATAGTAGTGATTTTTGCTCACGTATCTTTCTTTCGCACATTGGTCAAGATTCCGTGTCCACATTTTCTTTTTGTGGTCTTGAAGTCATAGGTCCGGTTTTGCATTGCGCTTGCCTACAAAGATGCCGCGGATCACTTCCGGTTCAGACTTCTTCTTCGCCCTCCCTCCTTCTTCTTCGTGAAATTTATTGGGGGTTGGCAAAAAATGTTAGGTGAGCATTACCGCCACCAACCGCTAAGGACTGTTGACCACGTGACACAAAACAAAACTTAAAAAAAAGGTTAAGACCTTTAGGAACTATGACCAAGATAGAAGTAACGCATTTTTGTGTAGTGAAAGGAAAGTGAAATTATGCATAGTTTTTAAACATTTTACAAGTAAAAATCAACAATGTTACATTTCTATTGAGTTCCCTTTTCTCCAATACACCTTAATAAAATCCAGTTAAATTGAAGTAAAGGTCACAAACAACCTTCCAGACTTTGAATAACAGAGTATCACCCCCATTATATAAAAATAGAATTGCAAGCCTACCAAGATATTGTCATGTGTAACCTCCAATAGCATGATGAAGAATAACATAATAGCTGCAAATAACATAATAACGTTGGTCATTTGAACTATAATAATGCCAATAGCATTACCTGTGAGACACAGTGGTGTCAGCTTCATGCTGTGAGAAAACTTTTCTATAGAAGAGACAGAAATGCTTTTCAGAGTTGATGAGAACAAGCATGAAGCTAAAAGCTGAAGCTTAAAGATTCAAGATTGGGGTGAAGATTCACCTTCTAGCGTGAGAACAAAGCATTAGAAAGGACTAGTCAGCGTCAAGACCAAAATCCAGTTAAGAGTCAGATGTTCACAGTCTTTCCCCTCTAAATGAGCTTTAGCTAGAATGGACACTAACGAATGAGGGCCAAATACACTGGCACACTCTCCAGAATTTTACTTAGAAAAAAATGTTGAAAATCATGTTGCCTTGTCGTTCCATTTCATAATTATGCAGCACTTTTTATTGACGTATCGCATACAATACCAATAAAAAAAAACACATTAGCATTTCTTCTTCTAACATGTGAAAACTGTAGACATATCCTTACTTTAGCAAGTAGGAATTTCTAAGCAGCGTCACCATTTAGTGATAGTTCTCAGAGAATTCTGCTAGAATCTTCTGCTTTATTTGCACAGAGCACTCATAATCAGCATTTATGCCCCTAACCATTTTCCACTTTCTCCCTAATCCCCCTTCCTGAAAGAGACACTCCCAAGTGACATGCCAGTCTGCGGTGTAACCAGTCTCTGCTGTTTGCTAAAGCTGCAGCTCCTTGTGCATTGTGCTCACAACAGGCCATGCAATCCTACACAGCAAGGCACCGAGTACAGCAGCAAGCATAAACACACCTGAATAACACAGACAGGCTCCTGCAGGGAGCTTCTGAGTGTGTGTGTATCCTAGACAGCGCTGATGCAGGGCTGAGCACCACAGCCCTGTTAGGTTGCATTGACGTCTCCACCTCAGAGCTGGCACACTGGGGAGTTATTGATTACCATTAAGCATCCATGCAGATGGCCAATAAAGAGCACGTGAGCCAAAGAGGGTCTGGGGAGCAGAAAGAGGGGAGGTGTGTGTGCATGTGTGTGTGTGTGTGTGTGTGTGTTTAGAGTGAGCTAGAAGGCAGTAGACGTAAGATGGCGTTTGAGGCGGTGGAATAAGAATATGAAATTGTTAAATATTGCAGTTTTGGTTTAATTTTATTTATATGGTTATATCTTTCTGTTTGTTTTTTTAAGCAGCACTGGAAATTGCAAGCAGATATAAAGTAATCTAGTAATTGTTTTTTTTTTTTTTCAGGTATTTCTCATGTTACTCCTCCGGGTTTTCTCAAGTTCCGACATGCTTGTCAGTGTTGTGCAATGGTCCACAACTTTTTCTGTCATGTCTTATCATTTGATATCTAATGTTGAGATTGATGGTCCTGAAGCTCTGCTCAGCAAATTGTACAATGTAAAAGACACTTTAAAAGGATTACATGGATTCTTTGAACTGATGTTCTGTAAAGTTCTTATTAATGGTAGTTTTATTATATGTATATGACAGATGTTACATCAGTGAGTTTGTGGAATATCTCAAGAGCAATGGAAGGCTAATAAAAAGTCATATGTGACTTTGTTTCGCTAATATCAGCTTTCTAATAGCATTCAAACAAAAAAATGTATATTTACATACTACAACATATTAGCAGCTATTACCTGCCTGTACGGTTTTTCTCTTGGTTTTTCAGCCAATTTATGAGATCAGCTGCATTTCAGCTATGCTGGTTCACACTGTAGACTCTTAAGTTCACCAAGAGTGGAGAAAAACATTTAAACTTTAACACAAGACGTAATTTGTGCCACAGCATCTTCGCTGCAACATCTGCAGCTGACACAGGCCCCAGTGAAACACCTTCAGTGTAGAAACAAAGATGTTGCTCGGCTAAGAAAATACCTTGAGAGTCTTCTGTGAAAGGTTTAACAATTAATATCTTTTAATGTTGCATTGTATCCTGGGGACATTAACACGTTTAGTTGGAATTGTTTGCTAAAATTTCCCTAAACTGGGCATCCCTCCCAGTAGCTATTAGCCTTCATTCCTCTCTAAGGATTTAATCAGTGCTCTCCAAGCTCACTCTGACGTGGAATATTTCTGCTCTAGACAAAAGAACTAGTGTTGATAATAACTTTATAGAATCTTATCTCGAAATGCATAAACTATCCATTTTTAAATTAAAAAAATTGCTGTGTGGTACAGTGTTTTATCCACAAAATGCCCATTTTTATTATGGGTTTTTCATCCTTCTGAAGTACATCAGTCTTGTCTTCACTGTTTTGGTTGTTTCATACCAGACTTTTTCAGTTACAAAATGGTGCCGTCTCCTGCAGCTTTAAGATAATAAAAAATAGAATTACAATTTACAATAACATCTCAGTTATAAACCCAGGTCCTGTGATGTAAAAAAAAATAGACTGGAAAATAATTTCACTTGTACAGTTCAAGTGAAACCTATAAAAGGAAAAAATGGGAGGAAAAATGCAAAACCTCATTGCAAAAGTGTGCACACCATTTAACTAATACTTCGTTGAAGTACCTTATCATATAACTTATACATTCACTCTTGAGTACGCAGCTACTATAACGGATCTACTTTACAAGGGATAAAGAATATTCCAGACATTTTCCTCATTTGCTCACAAGCAACAAAAACCAGACCAACAAAAGAATGATGTCCTCATAGAAAAATCAAAGTTTTGGAGTGGTCTTATCAGGATGTGACCTTTAGATGTCCTCACAGTCCAAGAGAATTGGAGAATGTTTGAGTGGGAAAGTATGCAAATACTGCCAAGTCAAGTAGTAGCTCGTTGACAGATTTTTAACCTGTAAGAAGGTGCTTTAGCAAAGTATTAGTTAAAGGTAAGTGAAGGTTTGAAAATTAATGTCTGTTTTTTTTTTTGTTTCTGTTTTTTTCTAAATTACAAAAAAAAAAAAAAAAAAAAACTAGACTTCAGAGAGCCACTGGATCTCAGACATGGTAGTGACACGGCGTATGGAGAGCCAAAATGGAAGCAGGATGGAAGAAATAGTAACACATAAGTACGAAATGAGGGTACAAGATAGCAAATTAACAACCAAACAGCAGACTTTCAAAAACACTTAAGAGACAGAAATGCCACCTTTAACATCATATTTATTGTTATTTAGTTACTCAATAAAACATATACAGATATATACAATATGCAGGAAAACAGACGACTGCACTTTACATATTATTAAAAAAAGGAAAACAATAACAAAAAACCTGTTTGTAAATTGCCGTCACAGTCCTCCATCTATTGTTCAAAAAATTCAAATTCAACAGAAGCTTTTATTTAAAGGTTACAAGATTGCCTAACACACAGCAAAATGTTCTCTTATTATACATGTGCAATACCAATAATCTTTTTTTTTATTATTTTTCATTTCCCTTATCAAACAAACCCCTTGACCTCCTCTGTTGTTTCTAGTTCCCATTGGCTGAATTGTATACAAGTGGTTGAGCTCACAAGATGTGCAGCGGAGAAGAGAGAGAGAGAGAGAGAGAGAGAGAGAGAGAGAAAACACTTTCTCAGCAAATTGACTGAAAGAGAAATATGAGTTCAATGACTGAGAGCAGCAAACGATAACGATTCAAAAATGGTTCAAAAATGCTTTGACATAGACGAAAAAATCTGAGTTCGCCACCCCTCTACCCCCCACACCAAAAAAAAAAAATGTTGAGGTACATTCCTGCATAACTGTCCCTCTTCTAGCCTTCGTCTGGGTCCGTTTGGCTTTGCCAAGTGAACCGGCGAGCCTTGTCGACGAAATTAGCCCACCATTGGTCAAACATGTCCCCACCCAGAAGATTCAGGTCAACTTTAGAGGTGTAGCCATAGCTGAGGTAAGAGCAGGCAGACTGCAATAAGCAATGAAGCTGAGGTCACATCACCGATACTTAAACACGGGTATACAATCAAAGCCAATGACAACTGACATCTGTTCCTCTGTTCTTCTGCTTTTCTCTTCTCCTCCTTAAACATGTCTTTATTTCTCTTCAACAATGAAATCAAAGGGGAAAGAAAAAAAAATGGATTTGAGGTTTTCCAGATGTGGGGAATCGGCGAGTCGGCCCCACGTTTTATTGTCCAGCAGAATATTAATGCATGACTGTGTTAAAAAAGAAGGGGGGGAAAAAAAATCATGGCATTTGATTCTGTGTGTGAGTGTGGGTGTAAGTTGCGTTCGTGTTTTCTCGTTTATGAGCACGAATGTCTCTCTCCCTGAACAGGCAAGAGCCGCACACAGCTGTCTCACTGACATATCATCGTCATCGTTTCTGCTTTTTTTTTTTCTTTTTTCTTTTTTTTTGGTCTCTGAGGTTGTCCTTCAGTTTTTTTGTTTGTTTTTTGTTTTTTTTTCTGGTTTTGTATCCTTCTTCATCCAAGTCTGTTTTGTCGCTCAAGTCAGAGCTGCCACAAACGTCCCAAATCGGTTCGAGATGTCAGAGTGGATGGAGCGCCAAGAGGAGACGGGCCCCCCTCGGCCCTTGCTGTCCCCCAGCTCGTCTGTGCAGTGGACGGACAGGCACTGCAGGTGGTTCCCGCCGCTGCTCCCGCCTCCTCCCCCTCCGGCTCCTGGGGCCACAGCTCCGGTCTTACTCTGGGAGAGCTCGGATTCTGAACAGAAGCACAGGAAGGAGGAGGTTAATTAAGGCTCCGACAATTCCAAGCAGCTGGCATTCTCTGATACAGATGAATCATTTAAAATATACACATTTAATGAAACCAGTGTCATTTTCACATCCCACTCTCAGTCTGCACTGTGAAATTAATTCAACACCATTCCATCCCCCTCTCCTCCCCTCTCCCATTTTTTCATCAATAAGACCAAAAGTGGAGCCTGTAAGCAAAGCTTCTTCTTCTCACAATCCACCTCCTCACTGCCTGATAAAAATACGTGAAAGCAGGCGCACACACACACACACACGCGCGCGCACACACACAGGACAATTTAAACATGTAACTCTGGGAAACTCCTGCATGATCTCCCATCGCTGGGTCAAAGGGCACCGAAGGAGACTGACCTTTTTATCCTGCTTGGCCCAATTTATGGGCATAATGACCATGACACAGTATCGACCCTGTGTCAGCAAAGTGTGAAGTCTCCTATTAAACGGATGAGGAAAAATCCATACATAGGTTGATTAAACATTATGTGGAAAAACCCAGAGGTCCACCAAGAAATCGGCTGGTGGCTGGAACTGGCTGATTTTACCCTCGAGTGGCCCCGATTTGAGATCAGCAGGTCAGGAAAAGTCTGATCTGGGAAGGCAACATTCCTAAGCACCAACAGGTCACAACCCTTCAGTGTCGAATTTGTCACTGAGGGAGCGAGGAAGAGGTTCTTAGCTGTATTTTTAATATCAATAAAGGGCTTAAGAATAAAGTTGTAAGCACAAAGGATGTGTGAAGCCATTTAAAAGGAAGCAGAATTTTCCAAAGAGGAATGTCGGGTGTGCATTCAGCATGCTATGTGTAAACAGGAAGTTAGGCTTCAGCAAATAAAAAAAAAAATAATAAAGTTAAACCCGTGGCAGAAGAATTGCTATTTCTAATTCCAATCCGTCATCTAACACATTGGATTAGGAATCTGTTAGAAATCTTTTGGAAATATCACAGCTTTACAGGAAATCCTCAGAGGAAGTCAGGGTTTGTATCTGGGATAATTGTCAACACAAGACACTAACAACGGTTTAAAACATTGGTTATTTCATCATTTTATCTTTGTCATAAAATTGCAGATAAATTCTATTGAGCTGCAGAGCTGCGTAATACATACTGCTCTCTCTTTCCTAACCACACACCTCTCTGGTGCTAAAAGATTCAATGATCGATCATCCACAGTGTCAAAAAAGAGAGGCGGGTTGACTCTGTGGAGTGTCACGCAAATAAATAATTCTACAACTGGACTCATAATAAAACACTGGTAGTGGAAAGTAAATTGCAACTGTGCTGTAGCTGTTATTTGATTTAAAATGACATTGTAGTGAAAATGTGTGCTTTTTAAATACTGCTACATTTCAGAAGTAGAGTGAAAAAAAAATAGTGAGGTGTAGCTAGACTTCTTTAAGAATAATTAAACTTACAATTTATACCAAAAAAAAAAAGTAGTAGATTTATGTTTTTATTATTTACATTCTTTGCAAAAAAAATCCTCATCGGGAGGATGTCCATGGAAATGTCTGATCGGTACATCTCTAATAAAAAATGCATATGTTTGTATCTATAAAAGCAGACAGAGTAAATGTGGGCTCCCAAGATGCATGATTCAAATGTGGACACACACAAAAAAAAACCTTATGTGCCATGTGAAGGAATACATTGCTAAAGAAAAGATGAAGAGAAGTGTGAACTTCTTATGAGTGCAGCATCACACTTCATCACATCTATCTGCGAAGAAAAAGTAAAAATAAGTACAGTTTTATTAGATTAAATCAGGACACAATGAAAAAAAAAAAAAAACGGAGCCGAGGCAGTGGTGGGGCTATGCGATGTGTGCCACTAATGCAGCATCTTTTGGTTTGGGGTTTTGCCTCCAAGCAAGCCCTTAGCACAGAGAAAACCGCGTGTGAAGATGTTAGCGATCGTCGGTTTACATCAGTCCGATTAATCTCCCATCTCCTCACCACACAAAACGCTCCGCCGCCCTGCTCCGTGTGGATGGTTGAAACAAACCAGATCAACCGCGTGAAGACGTAAAGCTTTGAGGTTCAGGGACACGTTGGTGTGTGAGAGCGGAGGCAGGTGGAAAACAGCTCTGACAAGCTGAGTTACATGTGTCAGAGACGGCAGGGAGGGGGTAGGAGGAGGGGGCGAGGCTGTGATAGACGACAGTTTGGGCGCAGAGCGGCTCAAGATCACAACACTCCAGTCAGGGTGATGCTCACCTGAGGGAAGTGGGAGCTGTTGCAGAAAACCTTCATGCATGCCTATATCATCTGCAAGCTGACGTTCTCCTTTTTCAGCTAATCTGTTTTGTTTTGTTTTTTCTTCCCCCTTGCTTTCTTTGCTCATTCTTGTCACTTCTTGTGGCAGCAGTCATACAATTTGATTCAAAAGGGACAGGGATAAAAGCAAGAAGGAAAAAAAAAAAAAAAAAAAAAAAGGAAAGACAAAAATGGGGGGCGGCCAGAAGAGGCAGACAGGCAGGCGTGCCCCCCAGCCAGTCTGGGCTGCGACCAGTGGAACGGAAAAGTGGGGGGATTTGGTGAAAGGTCAGGCAGCCAAGCCTCCCGTTGTTCTCCGTTTCATCTGGTCCTATCACCTCTGCTCCCTGGAAGATTTCTTTCCATCTCCCAACCCCAATCCAGGTGCCTGATGGAAGCGTACTGTATGTACGACGGGGGTGAAGAGGAGGGAGGAGGGGTGGGGGGCGAGCGGTTGTCGCTGCTGGTTCGGTGAGCAAGGAGAGAGATGAGGATTTCAGAGCGGTGTTGGTGGTGGCTGTGACAAGATCTCACATTTGCCAGAGGGTACAGTCATACACCTCAGCATGGCTGATCCCCCACACCCACCCCCTGCCAGTCCCACCCCCACATCCCCTCACACTCCCTCTTCCCAGCGCAGTGCCCTCAAGCACCCGCCAGCAGCTCATGCTAGCTGGGCACAGCAGGGTCCGCACCGGCCTGAATAGGCAGCCAAGCGTTCCCCTGGCTCACTGCTGACACACAGCAAACTGACAACACACACAGCCAAAAACACAGAGCACACCAACCAACCAAGCACTGCCACACTCACACCAGCCTTCAGCTGCTGCTTCGCATGCACACACACACACACACGCATGCACGCGTACGCACACAGGCCAGAAAGCAAGGACATGCATACAACAGCGCACACGTACAAGCACAGCTACATGCATTACTCAGCTTCAAAGCAAAGGACAGCGGTGGAAAATACACAGAAGGAAAACTACACATGGGTGAAAACATCAGATATGATCACTATCTTTTGAGATCACACACTCTTACGCATGGCTGTCATTAGAATAAACCCAGTATTCATGTTCAAGGCATCTGTTTTTGTCTTCGTGAAGAAGAAATTTGGGCATGGGTCGATATGTTAACCTTGAGTGTAAGAGAAGAACAGCATCATGTTATTAACAAAAACACTTGGCGGTACACATAATCTTATTGTTCTTGGTAAAACGATGAGACATAATGTACAGCATTTTAAAATGATAATCACGTTTGGTAAACACATCTATATATTTATTAGGACATTTAACACAAACTCATATTCGCTGGCATGTTGGTTAAAAAAGGCCTCCAGTTAGTTTTTAACAAAATACCACATGTAGTATCAGGCTGAGGGTTTAAAACTGTGACACCTTAATAAGAGCTGTGTGTTATACTCCTTTAGCTTCCAAACCACCACAGCCCACGAGTTACACAACTCAAAACATGTTCAAATCAAATTCGTTTTCGCTGTAAAAAGGACAGTGACCTTCTTTCAGCCAGCTGACCATTGGCTGTAAATGAATATGGGGCCAGCTACCAGCATCGAGGCCCATGGCTGCAATACATGCAATATGGTCATTGTAATTTGCTGGAATTGCTAAGTCAATGCCTTGTTGCAATCAGAAGGGCTTCCTCACACAGACAAAGCTTTCACCAATAATGTGACCGGCTGATTTTCATTACTGAACTATAATTAGAGTATAAAATCATACTGCTTGTAGCTAAATTCACGTTTGACTACTTTGCTTGTTATGCAAAGTGGAACATTACTGCAAGAATGAATTGTTGTAAACTGCCTTTAGATGCCATTTGCTGTAACTTAGTTGTAAATAAATAAACTGAATTATAGTGTTCATTTTAAAGAAACAATGAGTGTTAAAACCTGACCATTAAAGAAAAAAACTAACTATAGCTCAACATCATAGGGCCTCCGGCGGGATTCAATGGGTGTCTTTTTTTTTTTTTTTTTTCAGAAATACAAGACTGGAAAAAAAAAAAAAAAAAGGATCAACACACCACACTTAAATTAGCCATGCCGGTAAGATTTGTTCGAAGGTGGAGACGGCAGTGTGAAATTTGAAAAATCACACAAGTCTAAATCCCAAATCACCATGACATTTTACAAGCAGGAATTTTCTTCAATAAAGTCTATCTGGCTACGGTTGTTCATTGACTGACGCAGAATTCATATCCACGGTAATATCTCAATAATGGCCCATTCATCTGAGGGAAACGAGTGCTTAGTTCCAACCAGCGAGAGTGAAAATGCCTAATAAAAAAAAAAAAAGGGGGGCAACGGTAACAGTGCAGGCAGCTGCGCTCAGCCACAAATACACCTTAATATCCTTAACCACATTACAGCCACAAAGGATTACCAAAGACGTGTGTTAAATAAATACCGAATTCAAAGTGATGCATTTATATGGCCATATCTCTCACCCCAAGTGCAGTATATTTTTATTTGGTGCCTGGTGATGATGCTCATACACACACACAAACACACACAGCAGCAGCAGCAGCAGCAGCAGCAGGGTTGTGAAGCCGTTTTCACAGACACAGCCAGAAACGATTTACAGAGATGAGTGGAGCTTGAATGCCATGAAGGCAGGGAGCACAGCGCGCAGCTCCGGTTGTCTGGATGACACCAATGTGTCTGGG